GCCTTAGGTTGCCTACCCCTGGTGTAGTGGTTTGAATGTCAGACCACAACTCTGGAGACCAAGGTTCAATTCCTTGCTCAGTCATGAACCCACTGGGTGATCTTGGGCAAGCCACATGCTCTCAGCCTCAGGGGAAGGCAATGGCCAAACCTTCTCTGAACAAATCTTGCCAAGAAAACCCTATAATAGATTTACTTTAGGGTTGCCATAAGTCAGAAATGAGTGGAAGGCACACAACAACAATAAAATCTTATTAACTGCCTCTTGTTTGTTCCTTTCTTTCAAATGAAAGAGATGGCACAAGTCAAACCAATTAAAAACTACATTTTTTCTTTTTCCAGAACTTTTATGGATGAAGGACAAAAAGCATGTGATGGAGATCTAGACCAGGGTGTTTCCCCCCCCCCCCCCAAAAAAAACCCCAGAAGGATAATAATTGTCCAGTCATGAAAATAGCCCCTCCTGGGCATAAAAGGCAGGAGGAATAGCAGATTTTCTCTGTTTTTTAAACAAAAAACTGTTAAGAAGGTGAAGGGGATGCAGCTTTCTTAGGCCAGTGGAGGAATGTGTGCCTCCCCACCACCACCAAACTGCTAAATTTTGCTCACCTTGGTCAAAATTATTTTCCAATGATCCCTTACAAACCAGTTCTTCTGAACACAAAGACATTTATGATCTTCAGCAATGCTTTGCAAAGACATGATAATATCTGATGGTGAGCAACATTCTGTTGATGGTTTAGCATTGTTCAATTGTAGCTGTTTAATGCTACTTGGACTGCCATGGCTGCAACCTAAAGAATCCAGGGATTTGTAGTTTGGTGAGGTTCTTAGACTTCAATGCAAGAGATTTCTGAATACCTCACAAAACTATAAACCCCGAGATTCTATAGCAGGGATAGGCAACCTAAGAGATCTTGCCGCCGCCGCTGGCCGCCACCACCACCCGCCATGATGATATTGATTATTGTTGTTATTACTTGTTCTTGGGGTTTTCTTGGCAAAATCTCCACAGGGGTTTTGCCATGGCTTTTCTGGGGCTGAGAGAGTGTGCATGCATATTTTTTTTAATTGTATTTATTTATTTATTTATTTATTTATGATGCTTTGGACTCCCAATTGTCTGAGGGACAGCAACCCGGCCCCCAGCTCAAAAAGGTTGCCTACCCCTGTTCTATAGGATGGAGATAGGGCTATTAAAAGTGGCATAAAAGTGCTGTTATTCTGTAGTGTGGAAGAAACCGATGGGAACTGGGATGACCCGAGAAGGCACAAGTAATAAATCCAGGAAGACCACTTTTTCCCTCATCCATTAGTTGGTTTTGAAAAGGAGCTTCCTTTTCTCTTCCTCATTCCCCAAGGAATGTATTAACTCAACAATCTACCAGAAAAGAAACAAAGGGCCTTTGCAGACTGCCAGAAATAGTGCAAATTGAGTCCACTTTAACTGCCCTGACTCAGTGCTAGGGAATCATGGGAACTGTAGTTTATTGTGGCACCAGAGCTCTCTGACAGAGAAGGCTCAATGTCTCAGAAAAAAATACAATTCCCATGATTCCCTAGCACTGAGCCAGGGCAGTTAAAGTGGACTCAAGTTGCACTATTTCTAGCAGTCTGCAAACGCCCCAAGTTTGCAGTCTGGGATCATCTGCTCAGGATCTGGAACTAGAAAGAGTCAACTTTTAAGACAGCTAAATGCAGACAGCCCGTTTGGGGTGGCTCTGGACCACCCCTGGGAGTGGCGGAGCGGGGCTGCAGCAACCACATGCTGTGGCCCCAATCCTCCTTTTTGCCACCCCAGAAAGAGCGGCAAAATGCTTTTCAACTTAATTATCTTGGATACTACTGATTATTTTGATTTACACTATTTCAGTCTGTTTTTAGACCTGGCTTATGCTTGATCGTTATGGTAGATGACTTGTACTGAGAAATGGGCAGGGCAAATACAACCCTATGAGTATGTTTAGCATTGTTCAATACAATTCAACATGGTATGCTTTTGGATCATTGTAGGCCTAGAACACGCAATGTTGCAGCAGTTGCAATACCTACAAGAAGCATGTTTGTATGTTTAGCTAGTTTTTGTTAATGGTTGATTTTGTAAGTATGTTGGCTGAGATCCTACATTGGGATTGCAAAGTTGTATATCTGTATGCACAGTGATGCATTGTATTATGCTGCCCTTCTGTTCAATGGCTATGTTGTACAACTGAAACAAGCAAGCAAATGTGAAACAGAATGCATACCCAAATGTGTACATACATTAGTGCTCATGCTCAGTGTGTTCAGACTATCTGAAGGACCATATCTCCCTATACAAGCCTACCCAAGTGTTAAGATTGGAAGAAGAGGGCTTTCTCTCAGTCCTACCTCCTTCATGGTTGGTGAGGATTCAGGAGAGAGACCTCTCCATGACTGCTCCCAGACTGTGGAACTCCCTTCCATAGGAAGTCAGGCTGGCCCCCTCCCTGCTCTCTTTTCACCAACAGCAGGTGTTTGGTGGATGAATTTTATTTACTGTATATACTCATGTATAAGTCTAGAAACTTCAGTCAAAAATTTGACCCAAGAAACCTGAGGAGATTATCACATAAAGATATAAAGCAGCTTACCTGAGCCAGATTAAATTAAAAGTGGGTAGCATTCTGATATTATCAGATGCATTTAGCCACCAAAATTGCCACCCAGGTGCAGCCTGACTCCATCACTGCTCAAAGGAGCACTCCTCATACCTCTTCTAATTTTAAGCCGGCTCAGGTAAACCGTTTTGTATCCTTATGTGATAATCTTCCAAGTCGACTTATCCACATGTCAATGTAAGTTTAGTACTTTAACTCTTATTGAAAAAGGAACCTTCATAATCTGTCCTGGGAGCACTGACCACCCCTCTACTCTATCATGCATATAGTCTTCAATGTGACCACAAACAGTTATGCCTGGTGGAATTTTGTAAGTTCTTTGGCATTGTTTTCCTTAGCTTCATCCTTTACATCTTTTGTTACATGTCCCTAAATTTTAACCCCAACTTATCCATAGATTGTATCAAAATCAATAATTTTGGCCCCTGAACCTGCCTTAAACTTATACATGAGGTCAATTTATAGTCTAGTATCTATGGTACGTAGTGTGGTGTGCTGTTTTTATGTTTTTTATGTTTTTTATTTTTAAAATGGTTTTAACTATGCTGTTTTTAACTTTAGTATTTTAACGTTTTAAGATTAGTATTATTTGATTATATATTTTTTTACTTTTGTAATTTATATTTTAGTTTTATCTTTTAAAATTATTGTAAGCCACCTCAAATCCCATTTTAGGAGAAAGCCAGGATATAAGTCCCATAAATAAATACAATGCATATCCATGCAAAGTAGCGCTGCATGCACAATTCTGCTTCTGCAACCTCAAATTGAATACAGGCAGTCCACTCTGGACAAAAATATCCAACAGATCCATAGGGGGCTTCGCACACGTGTTAAGACAGCAACAGATTCCAGCCATTGTATTAGTACTGTGTCGTGTTTATATTAAGTTTTGGACACCAGCTTGAAATTTTCCCCCCTTAAAGATGGCATAAAAGTTAACCACTGTTATCAAAAGTTATCAACTAATGACAACAAGATTTTGCTAGGTAAAATCAAAAGAATTCCACTCGTACTCTGGATACTTTTGCATAATCCTCATCACCGCCATACAAAATAGAAAGCTGGATTCTGCTCTGAAATAAATTAAATAAGAACAAGTGGGCAAGGCAGCAAGTAATTTTCATTCAGTTCATTGCTCAGCATTACCGTTTTAAAATGCAGCCTGGACTAATAATGTAGCAACTCAAAATACTTCCTAAAGGAAGAAACAGTGGGCTCTATGATAAACAGCCATTTTCTATAGTAAGAGGTCAGGTGTCGGCCAAACTGGACTGATGCAAGGCTACCCTTGTTTAGGAATCATTTTGTTAAAGAGGGACTAAGGCCTCATTCCCACTTACGAATAACTTAGTTTGCGATCCGAATCTATGGATCAGTTCAACAGCGGAGCGTGGTTCACACTACATTTGCCCCAACTGCATTTTCTTGTTGTAAAATAATCCACTTGTTGTTCACATTGACTAATGATTCAAAATGGAACCTCTTCAGCCAGCCAGCAAATTTAAAGGGCAAATTTAAATCAATTTCGATCCACATCCTGTTCACACTTGCGCTGAATCAATTTACTGCAAAAGACGCAGAAAAAACGAGTGTCAAAAAGACACACGTTAATTGGGTCCAGCGCAGGGGCCTCCTCACCAGACCGCTTCAGTGATTCAGCTCAAGTGTGAACAAGGGTCATTTAAACCACTTCAAACCGGTTAGCAAACCAGGTTATACGTAATGGGAATGTGGCCAAAAAGTTGAAGGAGAGGGCAATGGTTCAATGAACAGAAAGCAAAAGATTTTCTGGCAGAACTACTGCAGAAGAATGCAACCCTGTGAATTTGCTTAGATCTTTCAACAACTTTCATTACCATTGACATTGTTTGTCTCTACTGAGCCTTGAAAGCACAGTGTTGCTGTGCTAAGTCCAGTAGAAAGTAAGTCCAAAAGAAGTATTTTCATTTTTAGATGTTTTTATTAATGGTTGGTTTGGCTTTGTATGCAGCAGGCTAGTCCAAGGGATTTGGCTGCTTGAGGCAGAAAAGCTAATGATTCTCTCTCCCCCGTGTCCTTCTGTCAAAGTACATAGTTCAGGACTACAAACCTGGCTGAATACACAAGGATGCAGAAACAGACTTTTCAACACAATCCTAGAAGCTGCTGGGATGGAAGATCTGTCAGTTTTGCTTTCTCCCACATTCAATTTCTTTTTAATAATTTTAACATTCTTTCCTTCCCATTTATGAAGAAACTTGCACAAGTTACTAAGCTGATATTTTAAAATTTACCAGATGAAAGTTGCCTTCATCTCTAGTTAAAGAACTATTTTCCTGGATTGGAGAAAAGCTACCAAGGTGCCTTTACAGGTCCAAAGTGCACTGCAGAAATAATCCAGTTTGAGACCGTGTTAAATGCTCTGGCTCAGTGCTAGGGAATCCTGGGAATTGTGGCACCAGAG